GACTTAATGCTTAGTTGTTTGGAGCGAGTTTGTTTTATGCCGCTTTTAGCAATATTCAGCAATAACACCACGGAAGACACCAGAAATGGGCTCCAAACATTGTACCCAAGTGGGAACTGAACAGCATGACGAGCAGACACTTTTAACTACTAGGCTACTCCACAACCCATTGTTGTCTGTTCTCTCTTCTCCTCAAACAGTCATTTGACTTAATTTCCATAGACTTGCATGTTATTTCAGTTTAGCATAAATAATTTTCATGGAGTTTAGGGTGTTTCTTTGTCAAATTTGACAGGCAAATTTGACATCATCTCTGCTCTGCTCACATAATTTCAGTTCAATTGTCCAACCACTATTTAACTAATGACATGACATTTATGAACTTCCGTATGGTTCCATAATCTGGGTTCCAGATAAGGGCCGTATAGGAGTATGTACTGATATAAAACAAGCACGATACGGTAGGAAATAATTGAGAAAATGTAGCAGATAGGCACCACAGCAATGGTGTACGGTCTTGGACTCATTTGCACACGTATTTATCTAAAAAAGTATTGCTTTATTGTTTATTGACCTGTTTACACAAGAGTAGCAATGTTGTGGTGCTTATATGAAACGAAACATTACTGATAATCCATTAAATTCCAGTCAGTACTCAAAATGTACTGTTTTCCAGTAGTCCTATATTGAAAATATTAGTAGTACGTACTGCTGATGTTGAAACGTTATCTGGAGCCCTGCATAATGCACAATAGGCGGCTATGTTAAAGGAGTTCAGGCCACTGTACAAATGTTGATTGTTACCAATCGATAAATAAGCAAGGGAAAATTAGACAAATGTGATTTTTGGTAAGATAATTCCTCACAAATGTGCAAAATATTACTTGGATCTTAGGAAAATTAAATTAAAAAAAAGTATTTATGCTACACTGAAATAACATGCAAGTCTGGAGTGAGCGAGTGAGTTAATTTTACGCAATTTTCCAGCAATATCATGGCTGGGGACACCAGAAATGGGCTTCACGCATTGTATCCATGTGCATAGGGGCGTGTCTCGCTTAGAAACAGCGTTAGAAAGATCTAGGTGTACAGACCCAACCCTATTATATAAAAAGGAAAGGGATGTAACGAAGAAACCACCCTCTCCTCAAAGTTAAATTTCACCACGTAAAATATTTAAGTCCCCGCCGAGGCCTACGAATCGAAAGCTTGATGATATCCCTACAAAATGAGCTATAAATGGGCACAATTCTAAGCGTGACACGCCCCTATGTCAATGTTGGGAATCGAACCCAGGTCTTCGGTTTAACGCTTTAACCACTAGTTTACTCCGGAAAGATTTCCGCCCGTAACCCCCGTTTTTTTATCATTCTGTGGCATGGAGATTAACCCCGACATTACTTACCCTATAATTTATATTTTCACCACAAAACCAATTTACATTTATTTTGACATTTCAAGCATAGGGGTGGGGGTACGGGCGGAACCCTTACCTTTTGATTTTCACTACAAAACCAATTTACATTTATTTTGACATTTCAAGCATAGGGGTGGGGGTGGGGGTACGGGCGGAACCCTTACCTTAAAAATAATCTGAGGGTTCGATGTGGTTTTACATAAAATACAAAAATCTTACCTTCAATCTATGTGACTTGTTTTGTCTTGTATCGAGCTCAGTGGAATCAAACCGCACGGAACATGTGCAGTACACTTCTTCAAGAGTTCTGTCGTGTGTGAGCAACCCTTTTCTATCTGGTCTGGGACAACTCGTTGGATGTATTTTGGTGAATTAGTAACGGGAACAGTTTCTGACTTTTCATTATTTCATTTCGTTACAACCTATGCTGAACTTGTTACAAAAGTTATATAATTAAGAGTTTATAAATGAATCACACATAGGTGTTTAAGTTTGAAATTATGCAGTTATTGTTATTTGTACAAATTATGCCATAACGAAGTTAATGTGTATGACTGCGAAACTCATTCTCTCGAATACATCATTTCACGATCTTCACGTGGAAAACGACGCGAGGTCGCGATCCTTTGCTTTGGCAATAACAGCATATCGGCACGAGAACGGGTGCGTTTAAGCGAACTGTTTCTTTCTACATGACCAGACGTAACCTCAATACTTCAGTGAGTGAGTTTAGTTTTACGCCACACTCCGCAATATTGCAGCTATATGGCGGCGGTCTGAAAATAATCGAGCCTGGACCAGACAATCCAGTGATCAACAGTATGAGCATCGATGACATGTGTCAACCAAGTCAGCAAGTCTGACCACCCGATGCCGTTAGTTGCCTCTTACGACAAGCATGGGTTACTAAGATCAATTATAACCCGGATCTTCACGGGTGTCAATACTTCAGTGACGTCTCTTCAGTTATTGAACATTGTTGATCGCCACAGTAAACACTGTTCTATCTGTATTAAAACTGACTGTATATGATCGAATCTGGACCAGGCACCAGGGAATTAAAGCACCTGATCCATTTCAGGTTTTGCTTGGTCTAATCGATGGTCATGATGGCTGGAACATTGCTGAGAGCGGCGTTGAACTACAAACAAATTTACAGATCGCCATCATATGGCTGAAATATTTGGTTAGACATAAGGGGCCTTTCATAATTCATGGCGTGTGTGTGTGTGCGTGCGTGCGTGCGTGCGTGTGTGTGTGATTTTAAGTGAGATCAGCCATTATGTTCTGGGGAGGTGTTCAGTGTTCCATGGTGTACATATGCACTAGTCCTGGGACGGGTATCATTTATCTTTCTACAAGACATGCGGGGTAGGGTGGTGGTGGTGTCACTTTGTACACCATACATTTGTTGTACATGCTTCTCCATAAAAGTCATCATCTCTCCACTAGCCATAGAAACAAAATAGTATTTACTTGTCATCTGCCTGTCTCGTGCTAGAGAAAGTGATAATTCTAAACGAAATGAAAGACAGAAAGTTGTATGTTCTCTAAATGAAGAGAATTAGCTGTAAACTACACTGATAAGGACAAACGTCAGGGATGAACAACTTCTTTATTCGGGCGATGTGACGTTTGGATACAGATTCTTGTATCGTTGCCAAGTAAACTTCAGAACTTTGGGACCGCCTCCGTGGTGTAGTGGTTAGAGCGTCCGCCCGGAGAGCGGAAGGTCGCGGGTTCGATCCCCGACCGCGTCATACCAAAAGACGTTAAAATATGGTACTTGTTGGTCCCTGCCTGGCGCTCGGCATTAATGGGTACATCAAGGACTGGTCGGCTTGGAGTCAGTATAATGTGTCTGAGTGGGGTATTCATGCTTCACTGCGGCATGGTATCTCAGTGGGCTGGCACTATAAAACCAGCTTCAGTCTGGGCTAGTACAAGCAGCCGCACATACACATACACACGCATGCACGTCGTCATATGAGCGAAATATTCTCCAGCGCGACGTTAAACCCAATTTCACCTCACCTCACCTCAGAATTTGGAAATGGTGTTACATATTTAACGAGGCGCACGTAAAATATCGCAGTTCGCCCATGGATACTCTTTGAGAATGTTTCGCCATGTATATGCAGAGGAAGTGAGGTGAAATAGGGTTTAACGTCGTACTTTAGAATATTTCGCTCATATGACCACATGCATGCGTGTGTATGTGTTGCTGCTTGTTCTAGCTCGGACATAAGCTGGTTTTATAGTGCTATCTCGCGTTATTAAGATTTTTTTTAAATATGCATATTGTGTTGGAAAATCAGAGGTATATAACGTGATCATATACCGCTGAATGACTTTGATTAACCAATCACAATCCACTTTTACTGAAGTCATGGTAGAATCTCTTGTATATCCAGTTTCTCTTTCACAATTCAGTTTGTTAACAGTTATACCAGGGATAGTCTCCCTGGTTATACGCAGTTCTTGACTGTCGAAAGTAATACAGCCGCTTTCAGTTCATTATGATGGCACGGTAAAGTGGTTAATCGAATCGAAATTGTGTTGAGATATTATTTTTTATGGGATATCTGGAATGAATTGTCTGTCGAGTGAACCAAGATGCTTTTCCTGAAATTCAACATCAAATGGTTGCAGTGGAAAACAATCTCCCATGGCACCATTTTATATTTTTGTTGTACATATTGCGTGTGTTTCCTAGTGTCATGGGCTTTCGAACATCATACTTTTTCGCATGGAAGAGTTTCGCCTGTTTTAAAATAAAGTTGTCTTCTATAAGTTAGTGAGATGTTTTATAGTTGTTCGTGTAATCAGCGAGAAAACTAAACATTTTCTTAAGCGTCCAAGAAACCCATAGTCGGCCGATATATATACTTTTGCCTTAGAGTGAACAGGCGACCTATCTGGCAGTGTGGGTGATATGGGCGGTAGTCTTCAACACAGGTGCATTAGACCAGGTACAAGCATCTTAACACGTTGACTGCCACCACGAGTATACTCGTAGTATCAATGTCACAATGTAACAAAGAACGCAGGAGACGTTTGTTTCTTGTGCCTATTTTGCCAACATGTCAAACTAATTTTAAAATACCACTGATGTAGCTAAGAGATAACTCGTAGTGGCAAAATTCGAATAGAATTGATACTACGAGCATATTTGTGATATGCAGTCAACGTGTTTTGATGCTTACCGCTGTTGCGATAAAATCTTACAGCGTTAAGCTCAACTGTGTTTGTGCTTGGTTTACAGTATATATATATAATGTTGCCCTTGTTTTGGGAACGGGTCCACCAATGTTAGGACGGGTTAGTCCGTACGGTTGGATATCCGTGTGTACTGATTGTAGCCCATTAATCGTATACTGCAGCAGTCGTTATGAGTCCAAATTTGCCACATTACATGATCCAATATTTGCACCGATAAAGCGTCTTAATGCACAGAAAGAATGTCATAAAACTGCGGCCATTAAGAGTTTACCTTTTATGTTGGAAGATGTGCTTGAAAAACGCGATACCAACTAAACACTGCACGTAGAAAAACCTAACACAGTAAAAACACAACTGTAAATTAAAACATAGAGAGATGCAATTGATTTAATTATGACAACAAAACCATGTTGAGATCACAATACATTCAAGAGAAACTTCTCATGAATCGTTATTGACGTAAAATGGTTTCCAGCTTTCAGGAAACCAAGTCATTTCTGTAGTGACGCGTCAATGAATTTTCTGATTCTAGATTAATTCTTTAAGAAATCAATCCTCTGGTCCGTCAACTCGACTGCTATGAGAACAGGATGTAAATAATTTGTCCATTCATCCTGTTTCATTCTTATGGTGACAATAGTGGATGTGAAATCTTGTTGTAACCTAGGAAGGAGAAAGGGGTGAGTATATCAGCCCACGCGGAGATTTTAGGAAGTGCTCATGTTCAACTCTGAATACAAAACAATGGTTGAAGAACGTTCAAAGTGTGACCCCAAGAACAGCTGGTCCAGGGCATGGCTTGCCCTGTCGCCAATGACCCAGAATTCGCTGTATGGAGTTGCGTCCCTTATATTTCTCCAGTCACTGTTACGTGTGCGATAGTCAATGGTGAGAATTGTTTGTTCTTGGAACAACGAGGTTAGGATATTAAACCATGTCGAGTACCAGCCGTGGTCTGGAACAGATCGGTGTTAACTGTATGCACCGTTTGAATTGGACTTGGTCTCTATTCTTGAAACAGATCCTACAGATGATCCGTCATTCGTCACCACTCGCTCCTTTCCGTAACCTGGGCTTGTCCCGGAATAACACGAGTGGGTCACGAGATGACCTGTGTTACCAAAGCACCCACTTCAGTCTGTTGGTCATCTTCCGCTCGTTGACCGGGATCCTTGGCACTTCCAAAATAGCACAAACTACATTTGACATGTCCCCTGAAAGGAAATAAAAGTTAATTAACATTAAAAATGAGCAACCATTTAGATATTTGACACATTTTATCTCAAGGCACTTCTGGAATGTATATCAAACTTGAAACAACCAATGGTTGTATGTTAGACATGAGGTCACTTCGACATATACTCTGATTATACTGTCTATATAGGCATCTCATATCGACATTGAAGAATGCAATTTAAGTAATGTTTCCGAATTACCATCACCCACCAGTTATCTCCCTTTGCGGATATTTCCAAAATTGGAAATTTTTGGAAACATCATCTTTCCAAAATTGGAAATGTCTTGGAAACATCTCTCTCCAAAATTGGAAATGTCTTGGAAACATCATCTTTCCAAGACATTTCCAAGCTTGTAAATGTTGATATTTTTTCCAGTGCGATATACTATTAAAGACATTATATCACACCACGCTTCTCTAATAATATATAATGCAATTAACTCGATAATACTAACTATCAGCCCCCACGGGAAGCTACCATATAGTTTATTCCAAAATACATTACGTATTTAGATTACAATATTAAATAAATAAGTTGGAATGAATTAATACAAAGTTGCATTAATCGACTCTCGCGCCCTCTTCCGACCTAACATTATTTCAAGGAAACCTGATAGAGCTATGTCCCTTGGAGCGCTCTTTACGAACATCCTCCGCACAACTTGTGATTGAAACAATTTCGCCAAACACCGACAACACCGCGTGCGACAGTTTTCGATGTACAGAGCAATTGTTTACATTCCATATTGGTAAGTGTTCTGTTTGGAAGCTGTTCGCCTCGAAGTTTCAATTATCGATTTCAGGCAAGTCGTAAGGGATAATATGTCTTTATTGCATCAATAGGAAGCTAAATTGAATGCCCCAATATATATAATATAGGCCAAAATATTGTGACATTAATGTCAACGTTGAAGCACTGGAAATGCCAACCTGGTTCCCTGGGTTTGTTGTGCGCTGTTGCGCCTGCGCTGCCAGTGTCGGAGCGTTAGCGCAGGCGCAACAGACCCGGGGAACCAAGCTGTGGAAATGCAGTCCCATAAACACCACAATTAGTTATGAAGATAGTAGTTGTATTTTAGTTTCGTCTCAGCTGATATTCTGTACACTGATAGTTGGTTTCCAGGCGAGTAGTATCCATTCAATGTAACTTTACCTTTCCGAAAGCGGAAGTCTTCCTCCCATTCTCCGGTTTCCGTGTTGTAAAACTCACATACGTTGACAGGCTGTCCCGTCTCTAGACAACTTCCTCCTACTACATATAACTTCCTGCCTGTATGGGACAAAATATAATGGCTGAAACACATTCAGAACTGCTGATTTTAGCAGGGGAGTGAACTGGGGTTTAAGTTTGGCGTTCACGAAAACTGCGGCCAGCATGGGAGTGCGCGTTTACCTTCGAACGAATGTTTCATAGTTCCAGTCCACTGAGATACTATGACACGGTTAAACATGGATGCAGTCAGACACATCAGTGTGAGTGAGTGAGTGAGTGATTATGGTTCTACGCCGCTCTTTAGAATATTCCAGCAATATCATGACGGGAGACATCGGGAATGGGGTACATTACGGAAAAGACACCGATACTACCCATCAAGGAAACAATAAGTTCCATCTTGGTTTGACCCCTCCAAGCATCGAAGTACAGACCTGCTGAGGTGATAGTATTAAGGTTCATTGGTTTGTTGTTTAAAGCCGCACTCTGCAATATTCCAGCTATGTGGCGGCGGTCTGTAAATCGAGTCTTGACCAGACAAGCCAGTGAACAACAGCATGAGCATCGATCATGAGGTTACGATGACATGTGTCAACCAAGCCAGCGAGCCTGACCACCCGATCCCGTTAGTCTCCTCTTACGACAAGCATGGGTTACTGAAGATCAATTCTATTCCGGATCTTCACGGGTCAGTAGTATTAAGGAGTTCGTAGACTATCTGGTGGAGTGAGTTTAGTTTGACGCCGCTTTTAGCAATATTCCAGCAATATAACGACGGAGGACACCAGAAATGGGCTTCACACAATGTACCCATGTGGGGAATCGAACCCGGGTCTTCGGCGTGACGAGCGAACGCCTTAACCACTAGGCTACCCCATCGCCCCATATCTAGTGGACTATGAGAGTGTACCTATAGTTGCTGTGCCGTGGCTGTGGCGGGCATGGTTCATATTGGGCAGGTGGAATTCCCAGGGGCTGATCACGTCGTCTCTAATCGTGCCATTGCTGAGGGAGATGTTGGTCGTGAAGGAGAAGATGCCACGTTGGGTGGAATAATCTGGTTTGTCCGGGCACTTCCGGTCTACTCGGGACGTCACGCCTACAGCCCAAGTATTGTGTAAGACGACACTTACAAATAGAACATTTGTTTGTCATAAAAACTAAAGATGCGTTTTTAAAATCATGATGTATGTATATAGTGGTTAAGACGAATGAATCATTTAATAATAATGTATTTATAAAGCGCCTAATATCCACCATAGAGATGCTCAGTGGCGCTGAATAAGGTTGGTATCTTTAGTAAAAGACTAAAACGGTATAAAGGTCTATAAGGTGTACGAAAATCAGGAATGTTTGGTATGCATCATACAAATTCTAAGCCATGTCTAAATTGTTATTAATATAGAACGTCAGTGCAAAAATATACCCAGTCATTACTTTCCTCTGAAACAAAATCAGCTGTGACAGTTATTATGACTACAAATCAGTGATGCGACAATTGTTCGCGAAATAAGAAAAACAAGTGTCTTAAATGTTCATCAAGGCTGAATTCATATTCATAAGTCAGTATTGGGGAACCTTGTGATCCAGACTTACTTCATATCAACTTAATATCCATGGAAACCCATGGTTCTTTGCGCTAAGATCACAAAGAGAATACATGAACTTATCACAATATAGAACAAACTTTACAAGCACGACAACGGTACAAGACTCTGTATCGAAACGTCGCTCTCACGAAATAAAAGAAGTTGTTATCCATAAATTTTGTTCTATATTGTACTTCCCAAGTTCTAAAATGCCACTCAAAGACGTTATGAACGTATCAGTCTTGTTAGATCTTCAGAACGGTTCAGTGCTTTTTGTAAGGCTATCCATAGGTTGTCGTACCCAGATACCCGGGGCGGTTCCTCAGGCCGTTAGTTTATCTGGTCAAGATTCGTGTACTGACCAGTAGCCGTAGAACCACAATGGTTACAGGGTGCGAAATATACGCTGGTCCTGTAGACCCTGGCTAGTAAAAATTCATAAGGACCACTAAAGGATAAGTTTGCAGTGGTCCTGGTCGCCAGTGAATTTTGTACTGATAGTTAAGGAAATCTACGAATGTTATTTTGGACCAGCGAAGTACAGACAGGACCACTAATTATTGTCCACTCATTGGTCCTGTTGTCTTGTTGGAAATTTTGAAAGGTTTCTTCCCATGTGGTTAGCTACGGCGCAGAACCCAAAGCAGGCTTTAACTGACAAGATACTGTTCCGCCGCCGTTAGTCTGAACCAGATAACAAAGTGATCAGTCCGAGTAAAATTGCTACTGCATAGGAGTGTAACGAATAATACTGAGCCTAGGTTTACTTAGACTGCCCTGTGATTGACACAAGGAAGCTTGATCAAAGTTGGCATGCAGTCAACATGTACTAACTGGCCACCCGATCAATGTTAGTCGCCTGTTTAGATAAGCATCGGTTTAAGGGAACGTGTATTCTCACTCGGAATCTCGACTAGTCGATCAGATACTGAGTGGGTGAGTCTAGCTTACGCCGCTTTTAGCAATATTCCAGCAATATCAGGGCGGGGGACACCAGAAATGGGCTTCATACATTGTACCCATGTGAGGAATCGAACCCGGGTCTTCTTCGTGACGAGCGAACGCTTTGACCAATAGGCTACCCCACCACCCCAATCAGATACTGACCTCCGATGAAGTAGAATGTGTTGTCCAGCGTGGCTATTGTGAACCTGTCCAGTGAACAGGGCAGTGTGTGTGGGTAGTGCTCGTCCAGCTCTCGCCATGTGTGTTCCTCGTATACCCTGTAACAGTACATACGGCAAGCAGGATATAGACGTTATTCACCTTTGGTCAATAATGGGATTAACGGTATGGCATCAGTATTGGATATCAGATCGGAATGTCTCTTAGTAAACTTAGTGTATGTTACGTGATGTCACTGGATTAATGGATCTAGATCCAGAAGGTGAGGTGAGGTGAGGTGAGGTGAGGTGAGGTGAATTGGGGTTTAACGTCGTGCTTGAGAATATTTCGCTCATATGACGACGTGCATGCGTGTGTATGTGTATGTGCGGCTGCTTGTACTAGCCCAGACTGAAGCTGGTTTTATAGTGCTAGCCCACTGAGATACCATGCCGCAGTGAAGCATGAATACCCCACTCAGACACATTATACTGACTCCGAGCCGACCAGTCCTTGTTGTACCCATTAATGCCGAGCGCCAGACAGGGACCAACAAGTACCATATTTTAACGTCTTTTGGTATGACGCGGTCGGGGATCGAACCCGCGACCTTCCGCTCTCCGGGCTGACGCTCTAACCACTACACCACGAGATCCAGAAGGTAAAACAGGCAGGAAAAATAGAAAGTCGGAGGAGGATGTGTGTTCTTTGAAGCATGACTGTTCTTCTGGGTCGAATTAACAATAACTGTCTTGTGCACTATTTTTATGGATGTTGTGCACTATTTTTATGGATACGTGGTTTCTGCCACACACTGCACATGTTACCGACCACACGCACGCATGTACGCACACACACGGGGACAACATTTGTCGCTGCTCTTTAGTGTAGCCTACGTTTTGTCAGTACTTACTTACCATAAATTATCTTGAGTTTTGTTGCCATGGTAACCACCTGCGCAATAAATCTCATTATTGTACACTGCACACACGTGATTAGCACGTGCAGCGACCAGCATTCCGGCCTTACACCACGTGTCTGTCTGTATGTCGTACACCTCACAACTTCCGGTCACGCGACTGTCACTCTTCTCTCCACCTGCAATGTAAAACCGCGTCAAAAAATAAACGAACGAGTTACCCCCGTGTGGGAATACTACAACCTGTTATTCATCCTATTTCTAAGAACTATTTTCATTACATGTATTCGTCATACAGCGCTCCTTTGGAATAAATCTTTACTGGTTTCCTCTCAGTCTGCCGTTACATTGTTGTAGTATTACATAATGTTAGGCATTCATCACCCGCCCCTTTAATGGGTCTGTCCTCGGAATAACCGAGTTATTCGTCACGAATGAATATTAAGTTGCACTAATTCTGATATTTTCGTCAAGAACTCCTTTGTAAATGTGTCATATTAGGAAATATTCTCAAGCACGACGGTTTAGACATGTCTGCGGTTGGGGGCATGGGTCTGTCCCGGAAACTGAGTTGGTCACGAATGAATATTAAGTTGCGAATTGTTTTTCGTCTGACAGTGAACCCCAACGTTTTTAAAGATTGTTGTTAGGAACATCATATCTACACATGGGGTCGGACCATTGCTTCACTTCATTCGACATAGTTATGTAAACAACACGCTTTCTTTTGGAACGGCGTCGTCTGGATTAACGAGGGTTTCCTGAAAATGAACACGAGTGTACCTGACACATATATCCTTCCGCCTTGTGCGCAGACGCCACATTTTGCACGTGCAATCATCATAGGGGCACACTCCACCCACAATCCTTCCGCCGGGTCGTATCTGAGAAAGAGAGATCACCACATGGGATGGAAGTATCCTTCCAAACGTTTCTGTTCTGAAATTAGTTTACAGGGAAGCAGAATAATGGTGATTTAACAGATTTGTTTATAGCATTACCAAATCTGTAACCAACGTGTTTAGGAACAACCAGTTCATGTCCAAGGATTTATACCAACCTGAAATCCTTTAATTACAGCTGGATTCAAGAGATTTAATGAATTTTTAATTATAACAAAACTAATTAAAAAACAAACACTTCAGACATAACACTGGTTACAATTAATTATTATTTCTAATGCTACATATGAGCCATTGCAAGTAATGCCACTATCGTGTATGTCATCAGTATGAAAATCTCAATATCCCCTTCCCAAAGCGTCTAGTTATTTACGATCTCCCTCATAGAACAGCCGTGCATTGAATCTCTGCTTTCACTTATGAATGTAATGACCTACGATCTGTGATTAATAGAATCATCACATGATATTTTTCAATTAATTACTGATTACGTGTAGTACAATGTCGCCTTGGAGTGTGCGTTAATTATTGTGGCGGTTCCATTGTGTTACTGGAGATATCGGCCAACCACACGCATGCTCACATCGACCAGTGTAGATAGTGGTAGATTCATGTTTGATAGAGGTCATTCATATGGTTGCCTGAAGAATATCACAATGACCGGGGTTCTAGAGACCGATTGTGAAGGCGTCGTTCATATTTTCAGTAAGTCATTTGAAGATAATCAGACAGCTCCGACAAGGGTCAAGAGTGAGTGGGTTTAGTTTTACGCCGCTTTTAGCAATATTCCAGCAATATCACGGCGGGGGACACCAGAAATGGGCTTCACACATTGTACCCATGTGATGAATCGAAACCGGGTCTTCGGCATGACGAGCGAACGCTTTAACCATTAGGCTACCCCACCGCCCCGAAACGCGAAGACACTGATTAAATGCCAATTAACTTTTTTGCTTCACGCGTATTTTATAATGAATACTGTAATATTTCGCTACGTTTGAGTATGTTTTACAGACTTAATACGCTGATTGTGTACACTTACCTGAGAACTCTGTTGAGATGCTGTGCCCGACTTTTGTCGAAACCCCCCACTATGTACAGAAAGTTGTCCACGACCACCACGCCAAAGTTCATGATGTCCACAAGAGGTTTCCATACTTCAATGTGGGTCCTGTACATGAAGATGTCGCTCCTGTCAGGGGTGAGCAGGAGATAATGCACCTCCCCCGTGCCCCCACGGTTCAGGACATACAGACGGGATTCACTGCCCCTCTCCCCTCCCCATACCCCATTCTCCGCCGAACCGTCGTCGTAGGAGGAGCCGGTGCTGGAGACGTCGTCGAGAGGAGAGCCGTTGCTGACAACGTATTTGGCCATTGCCTCAATTGTGTTAATGTGCGTTGTTGCGTTCAGTGGTGTGTACCTATTATGGTCATCATGCTGTGGGAGCTTATATAACCCCTCGATGTCTTGTACCGAAACGACGTCAGTGGAAACGGAACGACGTCATGGGAGCAAAACGACGTCGATAGGAAACAAAACGACGTCAGTGGATACAAATCGATGTTAGTCGGGGAAGGCGCTTGTTAGCCCTGCTCCATGCTGGACAGAATATACCCTCGCGGACACGTGTCTTAATGAACAGCCTTTGGTGTCTGAAAATCAAACGGAAAGAACTTATGAAAATTCGACCAAAGTGTGACAAATCCTCTTTAGTATATACACTGACGGTGCGTGCGTATAGGTAAGACACATCGGCCTTTGTAAACAACGTGCGGAGAAGGACAACATTGTTTTCCTATAGCTACCCTCTTAAAAACTACTCGAATATTCCAACACAGCTGTCAACCAGTCCATTCAGATTCACAGAATCCTTTGTTTAAACAAATGCAAGATTACATCCGTTTAGAGACTATTTAGTCATTCCAGTGCAATATATTTTGACGTGGTCATAATCAACTTGGAGACATCCCGGCAACGGATATTTAGTCAGTCTGCAGTTTGATCCCGTCTCTGCTGGTGCACCCAGTGAATGCAATAATGTCGTTGAGAACAGAGCAGGTGCGTGCACAAACAACGCTCTCAGCCAATCAAAACTTACACTCTTTAAAGCAGCCACAAGTCAATAGATCCTGAATGCACAGATCAGAAAGTAATTGTATTTTGTATACTTAAGTATATACTCAGCCTTTGTACTTTAACATAGCATGGAGAGTTTTTAGTTTCGGTACCTCTGTCTGGAGGGGGTTTAACTGCGATATTGAAAGCGATAAGTCTTAGTTGATACGATTCCAATGGCCAATCAAGACCATTTATTTCTTCACCCTGCCATATTGGGACGTGTTGAGGCACTAACTGATTTACGGTGGGTATTCACCGTGGAATGTGGAGGTGGCATTAATCACTAAAGAGATAAAACCGCTTACAATATCTACGCTATGAACCTCAGAAGCGGGTCGACGATTTAGTTCAGAGTTAAGGGTGCACATAATACATGTACTCAAGACCGGAGGGCGCAGATATTTTGTAAGGTGTCGGAAAAAGGGAGTCTTCGGTGGGGTGGAGTGAGTGAGTTTATTACAGTGAGCAATATTACAGCAATGTCACGGCGGGGGACACCAGGAATGGGCTTCACACGTTTTACCCATGTGGGGAATCGAACCCGGGTCTTCAGCGTGACGAGCGAACGCTTTAACCACTAGGCTACCCCACCGCCCCGGAGTGAGTTGAGGTGGGGTGGGTTGGGGTCTGTGGGTTGTTCCAATATGTTTCGGAATCCTATATTTTACCTAACAAAATGGCAACAATATTTTACATGAGACACACAGGACGTTCAACACATTCCATGGTTTCGAATCACCAAGAACGAACATTTCTGTTGTGTTGTACAGTCGTACCAAAGCCTTTCACATTTGAATAAACTTGTAATGTAACCACTGTTTTGTTTTAAACATATTTTATTCATGAGAAAAGGACTGGGTACAAGTTAACTTAGAACACCGCCTCCATAGTATTCAGATAAAGTTATTTACATTCATTATACAAGATGGACGGACACAGAAAGATGGAAAACAGTGGAACAATTGCAATAGTTTAAAAATATTTTTGATTGGCAAATATGTTTGAACAATTTTAAATAGGTTTTGATTTATGCGAACAGTCCGACCTGCATTGCCATGTGATAGTAACTCATAGGTTATATTCACATTGGTAACACTGCGTAGATTAGTCATCCTGGCAGTTCTCCGTGCAGTATATAATTGACACACAAATAGGTAATGATAAGAATTTTCACAAACATTTCCACGAGAACAACTTTGGGTTATTTTATTATACCATGTAACCTCCTCTGTGAACTAAATAATTTCACCAAACTCTGTGCATACCAGATTAACAAATGATGACGTATATTTCGCCTCTCAACTCCTTTTAACAAGGTACACATTATACATGAAGGTTCCCAACATAATAAGACAAAAGACAAAATTATGCCCATGTACGTCGACAAATGTGTTCACAGCAATGTGACCTTGGACCTTCCTCTAAGAGGCAACTAACGGTATCTGGTGGTCAGGCTCGCTGATTTGGTTGACACATGTCGTCGTATCCCAATTGATGGTCATGATGTTGATCACTCGATTATTTACAGACCGCCACCATATAGCTGGACTGACTGACTGACTGACTGAGTTTGGTTTTACGCCGCTTTTAGCAATATTCCAGCAACATCACGGCGGGGGACACCAGAAATGGGCTTCACACATTGTACCCATATGGGGATTCGAACCCGGGTCTTCAGCGTGACGAGCCAACGCTTTAACCACTAGGCTACCCCACCGCCCCCATATAGCTGGAACATTGCAGAGTGCGGCGTAAAACAACAAAGATACCAACCTTACAATCAGTGACCTTGACTCAAGTCTCTTGAGTTGGTCAGAATTGCTCTAAACTGTCGCTTACTTCCCACTTCATATAATCGCGTCAAAAAACGACAAAGTAGTCTCGTTTAAGTTCTGTTAACATTGCACAGTCGTGTGTAATTATTATTAAACTCATGACAAATTAATTCATGTTTGTTTACACCAAAAGGTTAGGATCTTAACAAAACCAAGTATACTGACCTGCCAGAAGGCGCATAATAGTCCTATGAAATGTGACTCAAACATTAGATCGCCAGCTACCGAAGGCTGTAAACAATATTGTGTATATTTACACATGGCCTGGTGAGTATATATTGTGTATGACCCGTGTTTGCACGAGGCTAGCGAGGCTCTCTTTACAACCCCTGTGTACACACATTAGGCCACCTGAGGGTGGTAAAAGCTTCATAAAGCACGCTTGCTGCACTACCTTGACCGAAACATTAACTCGGGTACAATGTACCTTGGTTGTGTGTGAACACTGACTCTATAAACTTACACAAACAATAATTGTTGCCATAACAGATAATAGCACGGGAGCGAAAAGCGACTGTATTCCCCTAACAGAGAATGTACACTTTTTGTATCTGATTACCTAGTATGGTATTACTTCTTGTGAAGATCCGGGTAAGAATTGGTCTTCAGCAACCATGTTTGCCGTAAGAGGCGACTAACGGGATCGGGTGGTCAGGTTTGCTGACTTGGTTGACACATGTCATCGGTTCCCAATTGCGTACAGATCGATGCTCGTGATGTTCATCACTGTACATCACTTGTCTTGTTCAGACTCGATTATTTACAGACGCCATTAACCAAACCAAACCAAGTATGGTTTTACGCCGCTTTTAGCAATATTCCTGCGGGGTGATGTTCATGGGCATTCACATTAACCAAACCCATGTGGGGAATCGAAACCGGTCTTCGGTGTGATGAGCGAACGCTTTAACCACTAGGCTACTCCACCACTCTCTTTATACAACCCTTTTGAGAGGAAAGTATGTAGTGATGCCGGTTCCTACAGAGGAATCAGGGAATCAGGGAGTCACACCTACGATCATAGTTCCAAACACAACCCTTCCGCCCCTTGCCGCCCGCGAATCATTTCTAGATACAAGTTATATTCACACAAGTCGATGTTGATATCTGCATATTCAGCGTAATCGACTTGTGTTTGTTTATTCATCCTGTACGTCCAACTGAAGAAACTCGACTCCAACACGTGGGATAGTCAACGGGTTACAGCGTTCGCTCATCACGCCAAAAACCGGGTTCGATTCCCCACGTGTGTACAATGTGTGAAGCCCATGTCTGGTGTCACCAGCCGTGATATTGCTGGAATGTCGCTAAAAGCGGCGTAAAACCATACCCACTCACTCACTTTAACACACGTAACGACAAAGTTAAAACAGTCCTCACACTTGTTCTCGGCCGACAGGCATTAATTGTTTATGTGTTAAAATATTCCTTACTTCATTTACGTTCGTTGTGTTCACGCACGACTTCAGTGCTGCCTCTTGGGAACGTCTGTTGACGTGAGACAGTGCCAGGAGATCAAAGCCAAGATACATCATACATAATATGTTGGAGAAGCCCAGGGGAGTAAGGCGTAGAAGATATCTGGAGTAGAATATCACTGCAGTAACACTCGCTGCAATAGGCATATTGCAGGTCACCATACCCTGAAGGCGTTGGTTGTTTGTTTGTTTGTTGTGTCAACGCGGTGACAGTTGCGTCGACTGGGGAATTAGCTCATAATTAAGATGAAGTGTGCGTTGATGAAGACGAATGCATAGTTGAGTTCAAACGTCTTTAGTACATGACAAACAAATACACAAGACATGAGCGAGGTGAGCGGAGTACCTGCTCAACCCCAGGGCGTTTCCTACGAGCGGCATTATCCTGCTCGTGGTCGTCCCAACAGACAGTCCAAATACCGAACTCGTACTCCTTCTTGTCTAGATGTGAGCATACTAAGTATATATACAGTTTTTGACGACAATGGACAGGCGACGACTCATCAATGGACAGACAGAAAAACAATAGCACTTCCTTGACCAGTTGATGGGATGGCAGACACGGCCAAGGGGGATTACCAATGAAGGTTATAAATGTCTTATACAGTAATTAATTGGCTGACAAGTCAATGTACAATGCGGTAGTGATAAGGATGTACAGTAGTGATTAAGAATACAGGTTAGCGTCATATAAATTATTACAATAAAGTCTCACATATCTGGACTACATAGGTTTCGGACTTTTTAAATATTTGGACGATGACTGTCCTGAATTAGTCACTATAACAGTTGTTTAACGCCGCTCTCAGCAATATTGCAGCTATATGGCAGCAGTCTGTAAATAATCTAGTATGGACCAGACAATCAAGTCATCGACAGCATGAGCATGGATCTACGTATTGGGATATCATGACACGTGTCAACCAAGTCAGCGAACCTGACCACCGATCCCACGTGTTATAATTACGACAAGCACAGTCGATCCTATTGGTCGCCTCGACAAATATGGGTTGCTGAAGACCAATTCTAACCCGGATCTTCACGGGGAGACAACATGGGTTGCTAAAGACCAATTCTAACCCATATCTTCACGGGTAGAATGCGCTGGTAGGTCACCGTCGTATCTCAACGCATCATAATGTCTTTTAGGCCAGCAACCCGTAGGTACTTGTGTCAGTGAAATATATTTATGATTGCAGCGTTATGCAACCTTTATTCACT